GTTAGCTAGGTAGATAGCTAGCTAGCTGCCACAATTATTAAACAGTCTCGAGAATAATTTGAAATTTAACAATTACCGCCTACCCAATAACCGTTAGATTAATACAGGAGACTTTGCGATCTATAATTCTCCACTAACCAGCATATATAAATAGTCGAACAGAAGCTCAATACTGATCTCATGATGATTGCGGGCTAGCATGAAACAGACTATCACCGCTTGGTGTTGACCTCAATGTCCACTTAGATATGTATCTATGTATGTATATACACACACAAAGAATATGTGAAAGATATCTAAGTGATCAATGGATTTTTTTATTCAATATTATGTCTTACTACTTCAGTTATTATTTCTGACAATAATCATGATTGAATTGGAAACTAATGGGACGTCTACTTAAACACGGGTTTCCCGAAAAGTTACATTTGGAGTAATAGGTAATATGATGAGTAAAGAAATTGTGTTATCAAATTGGATAATCAGTCTCATTATGCAGTAGACCTACTCTAATGAAAATCGTCATGAGATTTCTTTCTATAATTAATTCACATTAAGCTTGCAAATATTCTACTTGGATGTTATCATGGATGAATCATATATATGTTGTGTATTTGGAGAGGCGTCCCCGTTGTCAGGTTTCAATGACGATAACTGACAAGGAATACGTATAATGTAAATGAGAATGAACTATCAAAATACATGTTAATCACAAGGTTCTTAACGCACAAGAGCATAAAAAGAATTCCTATCTTGAAATTTGGAGACTTAGAATGTGTGGAGTATAAATATTAAATATGGTAATAATTCATTGGATTCATCGCCCCTCTGAAACTGATGTGGGATATTATATGAAACTCTAGGATATATATATACATATGTGTGTGTATGTATAAGTGTATATTGAAATCGACACCCAGAGGCGACAGTTGTTTCATGCTAAATGCAATTGTCCGGCGAAGTGATATTGAAATCTTTAGCCCCATAATATAGCATACCTTAAATCATATTTTTATAGATACAAATATTTAAGTAAATGCTCTGTTTATAATAAACAGTATTAACAATATTTACCGGCCTGGATGTCCGAGAAATTATCATAGAAAATATGAGTCCTCCGACAGGAATCGAACTTGTACCCTATACGGAACCGTCATATAGCCTGACGTGCTTTTACCGATTGAGCCACAGAGGAGCGTTTCGGTTATCAGGGTCGATTTTACTGCTTTTAAACCAGAATTCTCCATGATTTTCTCTCATACATTCATATCTGCTCGATGCGTATTCAAATGTAAATAAATGACGTCACACATTAGGAAATGGACAAAGTCCGACAATTATTTTAAGACATTTTTTTATGTTTATACGTTCTTTTTATAGATACAAATATCTAAGCAAATGTTCCGTATAGAAACATTGCTAAATGAGTGGCAAAGTATAGATCAGATGATTGTTGATAACTTGATCAAATCCATGAAAAATCGAAGGCAATTACTGAAACTAACAAATAGAGGAGCTACTCCATACTAGTTCCAAATACTGTTTATTTATGTTGAATAGAGATTACGTAATTAAATTTTGAATGTGCGTGTAGTTTATTTCTTCTGGCTAAAAACTTTTCTTAGGCTACTATTTTACTTCTGCTTTATTGTATTTATTATCCAAGGTTAAATATGGGATTGGAAAAAAAAATTGTGTTTCGTCAATATTCAATGTTTGGAAGCCCGTTTTGACTTGAAAAATCAATATTCAATATTGATCGTCTTACCTGGATCTAAACTCTGGCCACTGGCGCCTTTGGAACACGGGCAGACCTCCGCCTGTTTTCATTTGTTTATTTGATGTATTCCTTTTTCTCTTTCTTTCTCAAGTCAGTCTCTTTGAAACAATCTCCCACTATCTACCTCTATTTCGTTCTCTCTTGCACAATGAACACATGCTCTAAAGAACAATTCTCGTTTCACAAATGACTGACTGATCTTAATAGAATCGATCTACGCATGCGCTAATGTACACCAGAAAGGACGAAACGCTAAAATGGAGAAGGAGAATTTCAAAGAATATACGATGAATACATTTTTCTCCTCTTCAAAAATGCCTTTCAGACAATTACGCCTAATATATAATTTACAGTTGCCGTGCAATTACCGATGATTGCAGGCTGAAGTATAACGAAGCAATTTTCAGCTTATTAATCAACACAATCAATCATCATTCGTACTTACGCGCTGCAGTATATCCATGTTAATTGCTTTCCGCCATTTTGCATTGTTGTTATACGCATGCGTGGTCAACTTTTAGGCTTTATGCAGGTTTTATAGGAACGTATGAATTGATACCAATACCTGTCTTATTGCTAATAGTAAAGCTATATGTATTTGCAAAGATGAATCTTGCTATAATAATCGCCTGCTATGTCTGCCAATATATCAGTAGATATATAACTACACATGCATGCATACAAAATGGCCGGCTACTCTCGTTTTCCAAACACAGCCGTCTGCCGGAGTGGCTAGACAATCCCTGGTGTAGACGTCTGCTCACCTGGAGGTTATACTCGTTTTTATACTATTAGATTATAATTGGATGAGCGGATCTTAATTACAGTTTCTGACAAAGAGTGCATAATCTGTCATGATCTTCAGTTTTAGCAGCGCCAGTATGCACGAAGAGGCACGGTGGAGTAATGGATATCGGCCCGAATGGTGGAATCGGAGAGCCGACTTCAATTTCCACTTGAATCCGTTATATTCACTTATGTGCTAATAACCTTAGGAAAGGTATGAATCCTCTTCTTCTCCATCCAACTATGGGCAAATAGCAGGACAGACCGGGTTCTGTAGCCTTGGATGGCAACGGGTCTACTGCAGAATGAAATGGCAACCTACTGCGGGAAAAAATCTGCCTGATCAGCCATGTATCTGCGGGAAAATATCTGCCTGATCAGCCATGTATCGAGAGATACATGATCGCCTAAGCCTTTATCATGCATGACACATAACTGACTGTGTATGCTAAAAACATCGGTCATGATGACTCGTGACTTCGTGCTAGGTGATTTTCACATTGTTAATTAATGTCTATTCGGGATTAATAAAGACTCAGATTGGCGCAACACAATCTTCTTAACTAACAAGCTTAGTAAGTCTGTAAGTACTTTGCAGTGCGATGAGCGTTTAGTATAACGTTTACCGCCCGGAATGTAGGCTCGAAGAGCCGAGGTCCAATTCCAACCTAGTCTATGTTGCTTTCACTTTTGCAGTAAAGCCGTTGAGAATCTCATGGTTTCTTTTTTTATCCTTATAGCGATGTGATAAATATCAGCGTAAAGTGAGCTCCCCATTATGAATATCAGCTAGTCTAAGAGAATAACAACTCTTGAATTCAGATAGTGGAAGATGTAACGGGAAACAATTCCACCATATTTCGCCAATAGACATGACAATTAAAAGACGATCAATAAAAGGAATTTGTACGAAAGTAATGATCATCGGTGCCTTAAAAAAACTCGGCATTGAAAGAAAATATTTCTAAAACGGGAAAATGCAGTATTAAGTATTAATTTTGTATTTTATTAGAGGTAGTATATAATTGGTTTGGTTTGGTTTTGTTTTACGTCATATCAACCTCAATGGGTTATTTAATGCCGACAAAATTTTTATTGCTGGTAATATTTTGTTTTGTCAAAAATCTATTTCTGGTATTTTCCTTCAAAAATGTATTGCTCGTAATATTTTTTTTCCTCAAAAATATATAGCTGGTAACATTTTTTTCCTCAAAAATGTATAGCTGGTAATATTTTTATCCAAAAATGTATTGCAGTTATTTTTTTTTTTCAAAAACGCATTGTTAGTAATATTATCTTTTTCAAAAATGTATTGCTGATAATTTTTTTTTTTTTAATTCATTGCTGATTTTTTTCTTTTTGCAAATTATTTCTGGTATTAAAACCTATTTTTACACTTTCATATTGTTTTGACCCCATTTTGGATGTTGACTATTTGCCCATAGTTGAGATTCTAACAGGTGCTACCGACCCGGGTTAAGATGGACCTAGAAACACCAGCAATGAAGAGTTGGTTCCACTCTCCTCAAAACCTCCTGATCAGAGGCCTTGCTGCCGGACGTAGTTTATCGTCTTTCCCAGGACGCGGATGTAGTTTATCGTCATACCCAGGACGCCCCATTGTGGTGGGGTCTAAGAGGTGCAGTCGGCGTATTGTACAGCCCCAGCCGACAGTACGTACGTAGTTTATAACTACTTAATTATCAAGAGTAACAAATTTATAATGCTAAATAGGGAAAGAAACAAAAATAATTATTTAGCGCCAGATTGCAGGGTAAATAGATTGTATTGTGTCAAACCGGGTTCGAATTCCTAGCTTTAGGAACTTAATGCCATAAAAACGAGGCACATATGCTATTAAATGAAGATAGATTGTAGAGTGTCAGATAATCAAGTAGAAGATATTAAGTAACCTTAATGTCAATCCACTTGGCATTAGTTTAAATTACCTTATAATTCCATGGCTTGTGCCTCCAGTAATTTATGATAGACCCAAAAATCTATAATACCCCCGAATCTATCATACGGTGCCCCAGTGTACTATATCTTAGTTTTCATAAGGTAGACTTCATATCATATATTTCATCATGTACTTTATTGTAAGTTAATTATGTACCATAATGTGCAATAAAGGTGAACAATTCAACGAGCAATATTAAGAATGAATACAATGTATTTAAATATAAATTAGAAATATGTCATAATAGATCATTCATTGTTTAGTGGCAGTTTTTAAATTCCACCTGAGTTGTTTTTGGGGTTTTTTTTTTTTGCTAAATAATTTTAACACATTCAATATTATCGATAAAAAATAATTAATATTATATTGATTTTTTTTTTAACTTATTATGAGCGAAACCAATCCAAATATTTGGACGAAAGAAAAAGCCGCAGAATTTTGTCAAAATCCGCAAAAATTTTCATCCTTTAATAA